ACTACATGTATGATTTGTTACATGCACTGTTCACAGTTTTCATGCAAGAAAAGTACTTCTGTTGTTGGCTAGCATTATTTACGTCAAGTTGGCAACAAATAGTTAAACAAAAAGCTTCTCGGGGCCCTTATCGCTCAAATTTCTTCCTCCCTATCTTGATATAAAATTCTTTCTTCCTTTGCTTATCCTCATTACCTGGCCTATGTGTCAGCAGGCCTCTCTCGTTGTGGCTGGTGCAGAATGTGTCCGTTTTCTTGTAAGAATCTGTCCTCCACACCTGGCCAGCCCCTTCCAAGTTYCTATACTGGACAGGAGGTTCTGTGGTCCAGAATATCTCTCTGGCCAGTTGAGATCAGCTCTCCTGGCCGTGCTCGTGCTCGCTGGCAGAGCATGGCACAGTGAAAAGTCCTTGACTTTGAGCTCAACTGAGCTCCAACTCATGATGTTACCAGCATTGTTCTCTGAATCCCAAACACAGCACTGGACCAGCTTCAGGGGAGAAAATTCCCCCTCTCCCAGTCAAAACCAACACATCTGGCAGCTTCTGAAACTCCCTCCCTGCGAGCCCTGAGTGCCACAGTCCACAGTCACCCTTCAGCTCTCCTCATCACCCCTTGAGCCCCCCACGTTACCAACAGCCCTCTCTGACCCTCAGAATGCTCCAGCCATGCCCCGTGTCCCCCCCAACACTCCCAGTGACACCCCGGTGACACTCCCCAGACCCACTCAATGCCTTCAGCTGCTTGAGGGCCGTAATGGCACTGCAAGGAGACCCCACCCACTGTCCGGAGCTGCTGCTGCCCAGTGCTCTGTTCCCCCATGCCTGGACTGCAGCCCTGGCTCCTCTTCTTGCCCCAATGGCAGTTTCCATTCCCCACTCCACACATAGGAAATGAGGCTTTTTATGTCAGAAACAGCAGCTGCAGAGGAGCAGGAAGACATGCATGGTGGGCTGTGGAGATATGGATACAGGCACAGGACCATTAGACCATAGCCCTGGGGATGCAGGTGAGAGATGTGCTGTTTTCCCTTGTTTTCCCTTCTCGTGGGGTCACACACCCCAGGGGCACACCAGGATGTACGCAGCTACTTCCATATCCACATGGATATCCATATCCACATGGCTTCCATATCCACATGATGGGCAGCGCTTTTTCTCTGGCTTGCAGAGGTGGGCACCATCTTCTCCTCTGCCTGAGCCAGTTGATGGCTTCACAGAGACCCTGGTGCTCCTGGCACCGTGTCAAAGCCCTGTAGCCCTTCTCATTCCCTCTCCTGTCCACACAGAGCTCTGTCTCCCCAGACCCATCCTCTCTGTCCTGCCTGGRCACAAGGTGACGGTGGGAGCTGACATGATGTTCCGCTGCACCASCACACAGCCCAGCACTGGCTGTTCCCTGTACCTGGAGGGCCAGGACCRAGCCCAGCTGYTCTCAAGGGAACAAGGTGACTACAACCTCTCCCACGTGCAGGAAGGTRACAGYGGCYGCTACAGCTGTCGCCTGTACAGCTGTCATACAGTGCTATGCCATGAACACTTTGAGAGAATGGTCTGCTGTCAGCAAGGCYCTGGASTTGGTGGTGAGAGRTGAGACATCCCCCCAGCSACACCCTGCTCTGCTCTTCCTGTAATCTGTCACATCCTTGGGGAACTATTAAACAGGATTTAGGGCAGGAAAGCAGCTGTAAGAGGGGTCCAGGCTTCCTTCAGCTGTGTTTGAGCCTGGCCAACTCCTCAGAGACCCTACAGACCCTATAGATAACAGAATTGCTGGGCTGACAGGTGGGGATAAGAGTCAGAGGACACCTCTTCCTGCACCAGCCCAGAAAGCACCRGTGTTTTGGGCTGCATCCCCATCACTGTGGGCAGCACAGGAGAGAGGAGATYCTGAGGCTGCTGGAGAGCAGCTSTCCCTGCCRGGACTCRTTCCCCATGGTGTCCATGGCCTCGCGCTGTGGCAGGGCTGGAGGKGGGCACTGACAGCCTGTGGARAGCAGSYGAGCTGGCCCTTGGGCTKGCTSTTGGGGCAAAGCCACACTGCTTTGGAGGGGAAAAAGGAAGAAAAGGGAGAAGAGAAGGGATGCCCCATTTCTCACCAAACTTCAATCCCTGCTGTGCACTCTCCACCCCTTTGTTTGATAACACTTCAACCCATTACTTGCTGCAGTGAACATCTCTGCCTCAAGAAGGGATATTGTGTAAGGGTTTGCAATAGCCTCACTGGGCCAGTGAAAAATGAGTACAATTTTCTTCTGAATAAAATTTTACTTAAAAAAAATTTAAATGTCCCAAGGAGATGCTTGCAAATGCAAACAGCACAAATACTGTTACTTGGTTGTAGCAGAATCATTGTGTCCTTTTATTTTGAGTACATGCCCTTGGATAGATGTCACCCACAATGAGAGTGTTCAGGGATTAACTTCTTGTTAGGGCTTCCTTCTCCATACCTCCTTGTCTCTCCTTACCTATGTCTTTGTTCTCACACATTCACATTTTGTCCCCAGATATCATCTGCTTCATGAAATAATGCTTCATAGATCCTAATCAACATAAGGTGAGGTTTGACAACACCAGCTGAATGTAAGAAGAACAGATGTGAAAGGCAGGGAGAAGCCCTGTCCTGAGGAGTTGATCCCATTTCTCACATCCATGAGTTCTTTGCAGGAATTGTTCCACTCAAATGGAGATCAGAGGTGCTGTTACCTCAGGTCGTCATTGCTTCTGGTAGGTCTRGCTCTTGGATGCTCGGGTTGTCTCTCCAGAGACTGATGGTCCAGGGATGCCAGTGCTGAGTTAAGGCTCAGAGACTGATCCAGCTTCCGAGTCTCTTCTTCCAGAACAGCAGCTTTGGGCTCCTTGAGCACAGCTGCAAAGGAGCAGGACAGCTCCTGATGAAGGTCWGACAGCTCCTGGCTGGTCCTCGAACAGCTCTCAATGTAGCTCTGCCGGTCCCGTCGGTCTCGGGCCAGCTGTGACTGCAGCAGGGACACCTGAAGAAGGGACAAGGCCCAGCTCAGACAAGCCCACGCCAGCAGGAGCATCCGCAGCCCCACGGTACCGGCTGTCGGGGCACACACAGCCTCCAAGTGCAGCCCTCACCAGCACTGTGCCCTTGGGGAAGGGGAAAGGAACAGGCTCCCACACTGCCCATGAACAGAGCTCAGATGATCAACAAGTCCAGTTCATGGCTGCCAAACCCTTCCCACGTACAACCCTCAGCCAGCACAGGTCTAGGAGACAGACTTCCCACAGGATTTAGGAACCCAGCTCCGATTTCCAAAGCACACATTAGGGCCACTGACCCGTTTCTCCACAGGCTGTGCCTCAGCAGGAGGGCTGCTGCTTCCCCAGGGTGCTGGGRAATTCTTCTGCATGTGCTCCTGGACAGCCAGGAGTAAACTCTGCCTCTCCCAAACTATAGAGCATTCCACACAGGAGCAGAGCACAACATGGGCAACAAAGTCCAAACACCTCTGACATTGCCTCAGATYCCTGGATCTCTGCTAAGATGCAARCTCCACTGTGAGTAGAGTCAAGGGAAAATGGAAACAGGCAACAAGGGATAACATCCTGGCCCAGACWACCCAAGGAAGTAGTGGAATCACTGTCCCTGGAAGTGCTCAGAAAACATGAAGCTGTTGCGCTTAGGGCCATGGTTTAGTGCTGGGATTGACCATGCTGGCTTAATAGTTGGACTACATGATCTCAGAGGGCTTTTCCAACCTTAAGCATTTTATGATTCTATGATTCTGATATTTTCAGGTGACTTACAGTGCTCTGAATTTCTTCCCATCCCTCTCCTTCTCTGATCTTTAGGTAAATTAGAGATAAGACMAAGATAAAGGATGTTGTTTGGTTGATGCCAGCAGGTGCATGACTGACAATAGCGGCTGTACTCCCTGACAGTGAAACACAACTGAGGCTGTAGCAGCAGGCACACTTGTGCCCACAAGTAYAGACACAGCAGCCTTTGATGAGAATTTTCCTTCTCCTCACCTGGTTGTGTAATTCAGCTAAGCGCTGACTGCAGTGAGCATGAGAYTCCTCCTGTGAAGAAAAATTTTTTCTTTTTAGTGTTTGGTCATGGACATGGGCGATGTTGGACTTCTATTAGGTTTCTGGTAGAGGGGTTGCTGCCACTGGGATTTCACATCATTGCTCTGTATGACCAAAGCCTCTTCACGCCAAAGAAAATGTTGTTCTCACCTGTCTAGAAGTGGGCAACTTGTGCTGCTCAGACTTAGAGAGAGAAAATCCACAAGCATCTGGCAGTAACCGACCTCTAAAACATCTCTTCAGTCTCTTCCGTTCACGTTCCACCTGCACATTGGATGGAGAAAAAAGGTCCCAGAACCCTGTCAGCAAACATGGAGCAAAAGGACCTCTTGACATCAAGGCAAGGACAYGTCTGCTCAGCGACCCTGAATTGCTGCAGACAACAAACACTGGGGACAAAAAGCTCTCACTGGGGGCTGTGCGAGAGAGGCCAGTGTGTGTGTCTGGGGACAYGGGGACAGYGAGGGAGGCAGCAGAGTGAAGGTGCCTTTGTGAAAGCCATGGGCTCCCACYGCAACAGASAGAACAAACAAAAGGGCGTGCCCACAGCAGGGACAGGAAGAGGGAAGGAAACAAGCAGAGGACTCCAAAGCACTGCCTGGGCAAATGTGTCMTGTTCCAGAGGAGCCTGAGGCTTTGTACAGACAGCGAAAGCCCGCTTTACCTGCTCAAGAGTCCTCCTGAGTTCAGTGTTTTGTAGCTTGAGCTCCACCTTTTCATYTTCCAGCCCTGCAACTGCTCGCTGCAGACATTCCAGGCTCTGCAACATGAGTCTCTTCTCTGAGAGCAATGACAGCTGCTCCCCTTCAGCMACAGCCTGTTGGGCATTTAAAGAGGAGATTCCATGAGCAGGTGCCACATAAAGGTTAGAAGGGTGTTAAAATCAATACATCGGGGAGAGTGACCACAACAGGAATGGACAGTGCTAAGGTCCTTCTCCTCCCCTTGTCCACAGGCCAAAACAACACACCCTCTCTCTAGTGGCCCTCCTCCCAATCCCCTTGGAGAATTGAGTAGTTTGGTTTGGATCTGCTTCCTGCTAGTTTTGTTCAGTGTTCCCTAAGGTGGTTTTGAGAGACTGAAAGCATTAATTTCCTATCCAGCCACTTCATGGTTTTACAAAGCTCTGTAGCGTCTCCACCTCTCTCTCTCTCGTCTTCACATTTCCTGTCAGTTGTGAAGACTCCCACATTTACATCTTCCTATTTGGTAAGTTTTTTACCATCTYTGGTCATCCTCTTTGACCATCACTGTAAATTCTCTTACCTACAGTTAYACTCTCTGTTGTTAGACAACCAATTATGTGCAAGATGTGGGTGAGTGAAACACGTATTTCTGCAGTGATAAAACTACAGTTTTGTTCTCTATTCTCTTGACCTGTTACATCCTCATACAGAACTGCTCTTTGAAAATATGTTATCCATCACACCATATGCACTGCTCTAAACCTAGTCAGGAGTCACTTCCCCCTTTACRCTTTTCTTCATGAACTGCTCCTTGAAGCACCTATAAATGTAGTCTTGTTATCAGCACTAAGCCAATCTGTGTGGATGCAACTGCATTACCTGACAGAATGCTCTTGCATACCTGACCTATATGGATGTAACTGAAATCTTCCGCTCTWTTCACATTTCTTGCCCTTCTCACTTCTCTACTTCCCATCAACAGATCACAATACTTGTCAGCATCCTGATCAGGCTAAAAGTAATGTATCTCAAGTCATAAGTAAATGTATAATGCATAAATACAGTGTTTTCTTGGGAGCACTTTTTACATTACAATATACTAAGAATTACAATACTAGAATACAGATGAATTCTTGGCAAGGCTGCAGCACAGGCTATTGCATCTGTTCCACTAGCAGAACCTAAATCAGTTCATCCTGGAAAAATACACACAAGTTGGCCTCCRTGATTTCTGGATGCCAGTACAAACATGTCCTGAATACATTAATTAAGCATTTGACCTGACCAGGCAAAAAAACCATTCTTCTAATAGTTGGTGGCTGATGTTTTAATAGGTGGCTGGAAAAACTGTCCCTCAGAAATCGCCATCTCTTGAAGCATCCTCTAAGTGCCCTGTCCAGCCCTCGGTCCAAAAGTCTGCTCAGTTTAGTCCATCACTCTGCTCACCTGCTCCATTCCTTCGCACACCAACTCCAACACCCCATCTATTGCCTTCCCTTGCCTGGGCTTGGGAGAAGCAGTTCCCCATGCCCAGCTTCTGGCCTGGAGCTCATTTGAACAGCAAGCTCCAGAGCTGTGTCAGTCATACCGCGTGTGCCAGGAAACAATCTGGCTGTCAATGGTCTCTGGTAAGAGCCAGGCAGACAGACAGGGCTGCTGGCTGCTGCCCACGCTGCTTTGCCCAAGCAGGCCTGGTCTCAGAGGGATATGGATTGCCACCTCTTTATGGGAGACACCACTGGAATCCTTCAGGCACATTGGAGTGAACAGAAGATCAATCCCAGTGCCTACCTGCTGATGAAATCGGTCTGTGTCTAAAACCATCTTCTGCAGGATTGATAAATTTTTCTTCAGATTCCCATTGGCCATTTCACTCTTACTAAGGGCAGCACTCAAGACTTGAGCCTTCTCTCTCCATTCATTTTCTCTGCTTTCTCTCTGCTCCAAAGCAGCAGCCACATGCTCTAATTCTTCCCCATTGGCTTCCCTCTCAGCTTCCAATTGTTGGATTTCCTTTTGCCTTTGCAAGACATGGTCTCTCTCGTGGACAATTTTCCTCTTCTCTATTTCCTCTTCCTCCCATTTTTGGAGTTTTTGGATTTGTCTCTTTAGGGTTTCCCCTTCATCTTTCCATCGCAAAGCCAATGTTAATTCTTTTAGAAGTTCACTCTGCCTCCTAAGCTCATGCTCTCGTTCTATCAGAGTCTTCTCTAAATACTTGACTCTGTCTGTCTGGTACTTGACTTCTTTATCCTTCTTTGTCAGGGTCTCCTGAACACGCTGGAGATCTTCCTGAAGAGCTCTTATTTCCTCTTCTAACTTTTTTTGCTTTTGCTCACTTTGARCCCGGATCTCTCCTTCTCTCTCAGGGAAGATTTCTTTCAGGAGCTTCTCTTGCTTTCCGTCATGTCTGGCCTCTTCATTCTTCTCAGTTAGCCTAAGCTGGAGATTCTGCAAAGTCTTCAGTTCTTCTTCCAGGTGCTGGAGTTTTTGCCTAAGAGTGTCATTGTCTTCATCTTTCTTYCTCACCACTTCCTCAAGCAGAGTCACTTGCTTCTGGCATGATGTTAGTGCTACTTTCATGCTTTCTTCACGAAGCTGGAATGTGTTCATTTGCTCTGTTTGCTTGACAAACTCCAAATGGTTCTTCTGCAACATCTGGCTCACTTTGTCCAGATCCTGCTCTAGACATTTGGCCTGCTTGCCTGCCACCTCCTTCTGCTCTCGAAGGTTCTGGACATGCTCTTGCAAAGATGCTATCTCTTGATCTCTAGCTTCAAGAGAAGAGTGAGCATGTTTTAGTTTTTGCAGTATGGCTTTAGTCTGCACCGCTGTCTCYTCCTTTTGCTGTTGAAGCTTAGTGATGGTCTCCTCCAGAACCCTGATYTTTTCCTCTTTTTCTTTCAGAGTCAGTGTTGTTGCTTGGATATCTCTTTGCTCAGCTTCATGGTTTTCCTCCTTTTCTTTGCATRCCTCACATTGCTTTCTAAGGCAAAAAATTTCCTGCTCTTTTTCCTTTAGTTCCACTTGAAGATGCTGCAGAATTTGTTTCTGCTGTTCAGAGTCTTGCTTTTGTTTTTGGAAGGTCTCAATCAGTTCCTTCTGAGATTCAATCATTAAATCCTTTTCTCTCAGTATTGTCCTAGAGTTTTCTAAGTCTCTGTGCAAGACATTGATCTGTTCTTCTGTTTTTTCCTCATAGGTCCTTGTTTGTTGCTTCTGAATGTCCATGAGTGTGTCTTTCTCTTTCAAGGTGGCTAATGTCTGCTCCAGTTTATCACAGACAGTCCTTAACTGCATTCCCATGTCTTCTTGAACTTCCTGCATTTGCTTTCGTTGTGACTCAAGCTCTTGATCTTTCTCAGATAAAGAAAGTGTCATGGTTTCTACTTTACCAAGCACCTCTTGCAGATGCCTGTCTTGCTGTTCCTTGTGCTGCCGCAAGAGCCTTAACTCTTCCCTTTGAGTGTCACACTCATTCTCTCTATCCTTAAGAAGGGCCCTCAGGTGCTCAAGGCTAGCRTTTAGAGATTTCACCTCTTCTCTCTCCTTTTCCAGTTCTTGAATCTGCTGAGTCAGAGAAAGAAGCTCCAACCTTTTCTCCCTCAGGTTTCCTTTCATGTCATCAAGATCCACAAGCAGATTTCTCACTTGTACTGTACCATGCTGTTCAAGAATCATTATTTTCTCCTCCTGGAATTTGATCTCTAGGTGTCTCTCCTCCAGCTCTTTGCTCACCCTGCTGACAGTGGAGTTCTGCAATTCTAACTTCTTCTCCAGCTCCTCTATTAGTAATTGCTGGGATCTGATCTCCTGGTCCTTCTCTTCCAGCTCTTTGCTCATTTTGCTTAAAACAATATTTTGCTTTTCTTGCTGCTTCTCCAGCTCCTGTATCTGTTCCTGTTGGGATTCTGTTTTCTGTTCTTTCTCTGTTATATCCTTAATAACCTGATTGAGAGCAGTTTTATGCATTTCTTTCTGCTTTTCCAGCATTCTCATCTGCTCTTGGTACAACTTCATTTCTCCCTCCCTCTCTGACAGGATGGCAGTCACACGAGTGAGATGCTCCTGCACAGCTTTGACCTCTGCTGCCTCTTTCTGAAGAATCTCTATTTTCTTTCCTTGGTTTTGCACTTCCTCATTTTTAATTTTTAACATGGACAGTGAGGTTTGGAGTTCTTGTTCAAGGGACTGATTCTTGTCTGTTGCTGTATTTGCTCGGGTTTCAGAGGCTGTGACTGATTCCTCCAGAAGTTTTATCTCACACTCTAGTTTTTCTTTATCTGCCTGCAGCCTGTCCCGTTCATGCTGCAAAACAGGGAGAAAAAGGGTCATTCATTCCATCTCTCAGATTGCTTTTCCCACCACATCTGGACTCCTGAYGCAGGAGCCGGCACGAGCTGCCCCTCTCTCTCTGCCTCTCAGGGATGCTGCAGACATTTGCTGGAGCTCCCCCTGATGCTGTGTCTTTCCCAGCTCACTCAGCCCATCCCAGCTTCCTTTCTGCCCTTCCCTGACCTCTTGCAGTTCCACTCGAGTGCTCCTTTGGGGAGGAGCTGCCAGAACTGCAGCCAGCATTTCAAGTCCATGCTAAGCAGGATTTAGGCCGTGCCATGAGGATGTGCTCTCCATCAGGGAGAAAGGGAAGAGCAAACACCCCCAACATTTCATTCCCTGGGTTTGGGGTGACAGGAGTGGTTTTTGACCTCTCCTGTGCAGAGTTTCCATGGCACCATCCCTGAGAGCACACTGCCCTCTCCTGTAGCAGCAATGCTCAGATCAATCTGTCATTCTCTGCTGCCACTCAGAACGAGTTCTCCCCTTGCAGCCACACGTCCGTATCTGGATCAGCACTTTGCTTTTCTCTCCTTTCTCACCACTGGCTGCTATCAAATGGCCAAGGCCATGCACCTTTCTTTTAACAGCAACCTTGGTCTTCTCACCCCTCCTTCCAGGTCCAGATATTTAGAGATAGGGGCATAGGTTGGGACATGAGGAATTGCCCGAACCATGCATTTCCTTGTCCATAGGGAAAAGTGTGGACATTGAGAACTACAGCTTCTAGGCCACAAAACACCTGCAAGGAGGAATATCAGCAGCCTCAACCCTAATTGTGTTTTACAGGAGAACAACATCTTTTCCTCCTTATTCAGAAGAATGCAATTACATAAGTTAGACTGCAAAAAGGTGCTCCTTAGAAATATTAACACAAGATGCGAACATAGTTAAGAAATGGCCCTTTATGGCCTCTACCATTCTCACCAGCACATCCTTCCTCTCCTTCTCCAGGTTTTCCAATTTCATCTGTAGAGATGCCACCTCCTGACGAAGACACACAGCCTCTTCCTTTTGTGCCATGGCCTCTTCCTTCAGGGCAATTTCTAGACAGGTCTTCTGGTGTTCTGCCCTCCACATTGCTGAACCAGGGAAGGAGAAAAGGAAAAGCAAAGTAAAGGTGAGTTGATGTGCATCCTGCAGAGACAACAGCATTGTCTTCTCTGCCTGCCTGTGTTTGCCATGCCCTAAGCCCGCAAGGGCCTCCAAAGCGGACAGAAAGGAAGGAAACTTCCAGGCAGACAAAAAAAGCAGGAATGAAAGGGGCAGGGTTCAGAGGAATAGGAAAGTGTGTTTGCTCTTGGGCTTGTGCAGAGTGAGCAATCAAAGACACAGATAGGAGTAGGGATGCCTGTGCAGCCCTGCTCCAGAGAGGCCAATAGCTTGGAGGCTCTGGCAGGGCCTGGAGTTTGGGGAATAGAGCTGAGGCATCCAGCTACAGCTCCTTAGCACAGTCACGGCACCTGAAAGGCACCACCTGTGCCCGGGATATGCCATAGCACAGCCAGATGGCACTGCCAGTCATGGCAACTTTCTTGAGAAAAAGCTTTCAGAGGCACTTGCATGGATAAATCTCCTGCAGGCTGTTTGTCCCCTCTGCCATCTCTGGGCACTTTTCCTCTACATGGAACCAGAGATCCTTGCTGGAGAGACAGAATGGGGTAGTGGGTGGGAGAGCATAAGCTGTACCTTCCCGACTTTCATCCAGCTGTTTCTGCAGCTCCTGATTGCTGGCTCTTAGACTGTCCCTCTGAGCCTGCTCCATGCCCAGCTCCAGCTCCAAGGCCTGTATCTTCTTCCTTGCATCATTCTGGAAGAGGTAAGAGGAGCAGAATCACCTGTCAGTGACACTGCTGGCAGGAGACAAAGGGCTACAACCACTAAAGCAGAAATAGCCCAGGTGGGAGAGGGCAGCTGGACAGACTGGTAGATGTGATCATAATCCTCCTTCCTCCCCATGCCCATGAGCCAAGCCCCCAGCAAGGACTGACACCCACCCTGGCCTTGGCACTCTGCTTGTCCAGCAGCAGGACAGGATTTGTGGGTGCACTGGGCACACATTACCAGATCTTTCTGGGAATGCTCCAGGTGCTGCCGCAGGTCTTGCACAGCTGCTGCCACTCTGTCCACTGTGAGCTCTGTGGGGACATCCCTGGCCTGAGAATCAGTTAGGCCCACAACATGACCCTTTTCTGTAAAAAGAAGACATTCTGTTTCAAGATTTAATACAAGGGTCTCCAAAATACAAGGCCTTTTTCTAGCCAGGAGGAGGTGGCAGTGTTCTTGTCATTGTCCTAAAGCTCACCTTCCAGCAGAGTGTGTGTCACAGGCTGACAATATGCTGATGTCAGCMCTGCCCCAAGGACAACTGCAYGGGCCCTGTGGCTTGACAGGACTTGGGCCCTTTTSCCTTCTGACACTGATCATTTCTCCACATACAAACATGGACTTGTGACTCTGCARGGAAGTCAAGCTGCCAAGACTTCCCAATGCCTGAGTCAGCCTAAACTGAAAGGGTGAACGTGTCACACCAGGATGAYCAGGAACCAACCCCTCRCTCCACCTGCTCTCCCACACCTGCTCTGCACACTGCTAACCCAGGCTCCCACACTTGCCTGAGCTCCAGGTGGCCAAGTCTCTGCTGTCCCTGATCGTGTGGTGGAGAACCAAGAGCAGTTTGTCCAGCTGGGACTGAGCTTCCCAGTGGGCACCACTGGCCTGCTGACACTGTGTGGCCAAGGCCTCTGCTCTGCCCTCGCAGCTCTGGARMTTCACACGCAGCTCRGAAACCTCAGCCTCCAGCACGTGCACAGAGTCCCTCAAGCGCTGTTCGCCTGCTCGGGACTCCTCCAGCTCCTGCAGCAGCTGCTTCTCTCGAGTAGCCTG